CATTATCATTACAGAAAAAAAATGGAGGTGACCCAATCAAATTAATTTGAAATTAAGTGCAGTGAGGCTGATAACTCCACACAAGTCAGGAGTTCAAATAAAAATAGAAGAGACAACCTACAAAGCAAGAAATTATAAGCAGGCAAGGAGTGGAGCTGGAATTGCTGCGACTGAGACATGGCAAACACATGGTGTGGGCAAACAGGGACACTGAAAAAATCAGGGAAAATTGATAAAGAGATGGGCAAAGACTGCAGGATGTAAAGGGGAAGCTGGAGGAGGAAGGGACAAAGATGGATTTGAAATAAATGGGTAGGGACAGTGCTTGTTAAGCTAACTAGATTTATTTCTCTGCCCAGAAATTCTTATGTCCTTACAAGACAGCATCAAAGCAAGGTCTTTAATTTTACTTTTCCTGGGTTTATTGCTTGGGCCCTAATGTTATTTAACAGCAGTGAGTGCCAACCAGTTTCATTGCACAGCTGGACCTGGCTCAAAGTCGTTAAATCTGGTAGAAGCTCTTTCCTCTTGACAGACACAGCCTGAGGCAGCTGGTGCTTCTCCAACAGAGCATGGAAGTTGTGCACCCTGGGAGAGTGGACACCACCAAGGTACTGATGGACAGAGCAAGGGGACAGCATTCCCTCATCCTTTTTCCCTAAGAAAAGAAGCTGGGAAAGCAGAAGCAAAACCAGCTGGACCCCACAGTGCTGAGCAATGCTGGGACACCCCAGCCCAGCACTGTGCAGGAGGCACCGGAGCCCATCACCTGGGGAGCCTCTCTGAGGCTTCTCTGAGAAGCAGACACATGGTTTGTGCCTCTCCTTCCTTTACCAAAGTGGTGCAAGCTCTCAACGAGCCTCAGAACTGGGTAACACAAATAATGGTGATTGGGGTGCTCAGGATGCACAGGGACATTGTTTAATCTTCTGGAAAATGGTTAAAACAATCCATCTCTAGAGAACTCTTGAGTGCTGCTGCACGATGATGCTTGAGCTGTCTGTCACCTGGAATGAGTTTACCCCGAACCTTCACCAAGTCCTGTTTGAGCTCTCAGGGCCAAAGGGACCAGCGAGACCCCAGCAGTGCTGGGCTTGTGGGCAGAGGTTGTGCTGGGACTGCCCTGTGCCCTAGGACATAGGGCAAACACCAGCTTGGACCATCAGAGTGACATCCTGTCCCAGCCACCCCATCAGAACAGCACGGGAAGTTTAAAGGACTGCCACGTGTCTCTCACTGCAGCTGCACCAGGGGTTTTCCTCCTAGCTCTCTACTTGGGCCAGGCCAAAATCTCACCTTCTGCCCTCTCCCAGTCAAATACAAACTGCTTCCCTTTGCCTTGAAGGTCCCACAGTGTGACTTTTCTTCATCCTCACCTCCAACTCACCCCTAAGTGCACGGGGAGCATCTGGGATAAAGCTTCAAGAATGCATTCGACATAAATTATTATTCCCCTTCTAAACGGATTACAAAAATCCTTTTATTACAAAATACTAAAATGTTCAAATTATTGGTGTGGAAAAACGCTTCCTGAAGGTAAAGTTTTTAAAAATGGAGGTTTTAATCACAAGCATAATCCTTTCTGGCTCACATTTGCAGTCTTGTGAAACATGGAGATACAGACTGCATAGAGGCCTGGCTGTGCCACGAACAAAGGAAGATGCTGCCTGTAAATAGCTCAGAGGACATCAGAAGACACTTCTCTCATCAGCAATCTTTTTTAGCTTAATATAGCTCCTCTTTGCATAAAACATTGACATTTTTGTAATGTTTGGAGCCAATGGTGCGAATGCTGATTGTCATCTGTAGATACTGTAGTGTACCTTCAAAATATGCAAGAACATTTTACAGACAGTAGTTTCACTTGCTTCCAAAATGCTGTATCTTAATATTTCATACTTATATATATTTAAATGTTAGTACCACAAGATAAATGCTAACATGCTTTTATGCTAATGCAATCACTGGAAATCCAGATAATGTTGTGTATTGGCATATACTGTTAGTGAATTATGGATACCTAAATGTACAACTCCACATGCCTAGCAATTATTTTTGTTAGTGCATTTAACTTTTATTTGCAATCAGAGCACTTGAGGATTGTTCAAACGAAGTTTACTTTTGCAAACTGCAGAACGGAAAACATTTTTATTAAAGGTTTAAAAACAGTAAGACTGTGATGAGGTTTTAGAGTTGCAATAAGGGCACTGCTCAGAGAACTCCACCAGATGGAACGATGTTTGATTTGGTCACAGACTCAGCAATTAAAACCCAAACGCCTGAAGTGAAGGACGTATAAGAGAAACAAGAGGGAAAACCTTGATTTCTTCCCTCTCAGGTCACCGTCTCCCGTGGCAGAGGCTCAGAGAGGCAGGTGGATGCTGGGAGGACAGACCCTGGCAGCTGGACCCCAGGACCCTGTGCCCTGAGGCCCAAATCACACTGTGCTGCAGCTGCTTTTCAAGTCTGGTTTAAGCCAAATAAATAGGAGCAATATGAGGAAGGAGAAATCCTGAGCTGGCCCTGCTGTGCCTTTTCCTCCTCCTCTTCCTCCTGCCTTTGCTGATCCAAGTCTTGGCCAGCCACCTGGCCTGTTGGTTTAAGATGCTGATCCCCTGGAAAACCCTTTTATCCCAAATGGGCTTTCAGCACAGCCAGACCTGTGAGCCAGGTCCTGGCAGGACTGTGTGCAGGCCAGACCTGGGTGCTGCAGCTCATTCCTCCATCCCTTACCTGCCTCACTACCTGCTCAGAGCTAAGGACATTGCAAATGTGGAGAAGACCTGGATATTTGAAGAGCTGAAAAGTTCTGGATGTGACCCAAGCACGTCTGAGATCACTCTGTGTCCAGTGCTCTCCTCCTGGTTAAATACTTGCCTACAGCCAAACTCCCTCCTCCAGCCTGGGCTGTGCCAGCAGTTCTGGCCTCCCATGCCAGGCTGTGGAGCTGCTCTCATCATGCCATGATTTTCCTCTGGGGACATTTGCCTGGCTTGGAACTGCTGGTCTGAGCCAGCCTGGTCGAAGAGCCCCTGGAGGTGGCCACAGACCCATGTGGGGAGCAGCAGACCATCACCTCTTGCCCAGGCACAGCTCAGTGTCCAGAGCAGGATCTGACACCATCCCCAGGCACACAAGAACAGAGCAGATCATGTCCCTACAGCCCAGTGAACTGTGACACCTCTGGGAATTTACTGGAAAGTCCTACCACCCAACCAAGGCTCCTAGGAACAGCCATGTGTGAAAGAAATAAACAACAAGCCCTCAGAAAAACACAAGACATCAGGAAATGCTTCATGTGAAGTACCTGAAATGCCCCTGACAGTTTAACTAGAGCATGGAGTAAGCTGAGAAAATGTATGAACAAATGAATTAAGCAGAGAGCACACAGCAGACAAGTTGGCATGCAGGTGCCTATCAAGAAAGCTTAAGCACAGCAAGGGGAAAAAAAGCAAACCCAAACCCAGGCATAATATTCTTCATATTTTGGAACAGAGCTCTCAGATAATGCATCATCCAAACCACTCAAAATCACCATCTGCCAGAATGTCCTTCAAAGAAGAAAGGTCTAAAAGTTTCTGAAGCAGCAGTTGAGTCATATCAGACGAGAGGTTGTTTCTGTCCAAGGAAAGGCCTTTGCACTTGAGGGAGGAATGCTACACAAAAGCATGACTCTCACAGCCACTGCTACGTCATATAATGTGACAATGAATTTGTTGAGTCTTGACCATGACATGTCAGCTACATCTGGAAAGAACCTCTTTAACAGCCCCTGTTATTTCACAAGTTACCTGCAAAGATTTCCAGACCCTCTCCATGATCTTGGCTGTATGAAACATGTAATTAAGAGTCTACATGCAACTAAAGACCCTGAGGAAACCATTCCAGTATTGTTTCCAACATTAAGATACACCAGAATATGAAGAGCAGGTCTGTGTTTCTGATGTGAAAGGGTATATCTTACAGTGATCAGTGAGTCAGGCTCTGCTTCAGGCCAGAAGCTGAATCCCTTCCTTGTGTAAATCTGGTTACCTGCTCCTGTCCACGAGGCCATATTACCTCACACACACTGAGGGCCAACTGCATCATGCACAAGAGTGCCAAAGAAATGTGTGCACTGTGTATTAGACTAAGCAATAAATGATTTATGATGTTGGAGAAGGCAGTTATATTTTGTGGTGTGGAAATATGCAGATAAAATGGTCCTGACTTCCAGTCTTCACTCTGCACTTCTGACCCTGGAGTCTGGGACAGTCCAATGCATTTCTAAAGCCTCTGCACCTCTCAACACACACCCCACAAAGCCCCAAACCCCATAAAACAAAAAGGGCACCCAGCAAATGGAGCTCACATGGCTCCACCTGCAGCACTACATGTGATGCCCCAGCACGAGGCAGACTGGGCTCCTTCCCCTGACCCTCCAATATCCTGCAGGCCGCTCAGCTCCTGACTCAGCCTGCTGACCCTGTTCCCTTTGGTGTCAGAGGCACCATGTGTGTAGGGTTAAACCCCCTCCAAAGACCATGGCAGTTGCTATCCTTCTGAAACCAGTATCTTGCTATCCTAAAGCAGCCCAGGAGAAAAGAAAAGGAGGGAGAAAGGGGTCACTTGTAACTGCACCCTCCTTCAGATCTTCCCCAAGAGAGGGTGTCAAGGGGAGAAGAGGGAGGCAGAATTACCGCCCCCCCTTGGACTTTGTACAAACCAAGAGCCAGGGAAATCAAGAAACAACCAGAGATTCAACACCAAATCACTTCTGGGTAAGTCTAACGAGCTGGATGAGGATGGACTGAGGAGAAGAGCAGGGTAAGGGGTGAGGCAAGGAAAGGGCCTAGGCAGGAGAGATGACAGTTTGGGGGGATAAGACAATGTGTGTGTCACATGCTAAGGGAAGCTTCCAGTTTCTGCTCCCAGAAATAAATCAAGAGAGACAAAGAGAGGCACAGAGCCCATCGGGTCTCCCGAGCTCTGCCCCTCCCAGCCAAGGGGCCGGGGCTCACCTGGACAGGGCGGCTCCCAGGACGAAGGCAGCGTGTTCCTTCAGCGCCGCCTCGCTGCTGTTCAGCCCGTCAATCACCAGCCGGAGCCCTCCCAGCGACAGGAAATCCTTGGCATTGTCCACCTGCGAGAGAGCAGGTGCCCATCAGCACGAACCCCTCCTCACCCCAGAGATCACAGCAGCCCTTCCCTCCTGCTCCAACCAGCACAGTTTTAAAAGCAATTAAGAATTCAGAGGGAGTGGCTGTGGCTGAATTCCCTACAATCCTGCCTGGGAGCATCGATGCTGTGGCTGCAGAGGCTGCAGAGTGTCCTGATGGGCGGCTTTGCCACATGCAGAAGGCATTGCTGGAAACTCAAATACTTTGATTATAGCTACAAAACTGTTCTTGACATGAATTCTGGTAACTCAGGTCAAATATTTGGTACATCTGATGATGTCAGAAAGCTCCAGCTCTTTGTTCTCTCACCTGAGCAGGCCTTTACTGGGAAACCAAGGAACTGCATGTTTTGCAAATGCAATTAATTAATTGATGCTGCAATTGTAGCACCAGTAATCAGGGATTTTTAGGAGCCTGTCAGCACCAACAGTACACGTTGTGCTGCTCGGAGTGAGGAGAATGGGCAGTGCTGGGAATTTTCCATGAGTACCATCAACAACTTCATGTGGGCAAGGAAAGATAAAGCCAGTCCCTGCTTGGAGGAGCCAGCCAGGACCTTCCCCTCAGGGCAGCCTGAGATATTATTTTTCTAAAACAAAAAATGTTGGACTAACTGCCAGTAAGGAAAAAGTTTACACATTGGTGGGGATTCATCAGCCTTTGACTCTAACCAGATCTGGGGCTAACCAGGCACAGTCCCAGTGGGCATCTGCTCCTGGAGAGGAGATCAGAAAAGGCTCTGAGGGTTTGCAAACAAAATTTAGAGAAACAGCACAAAATGCTTCAAGTACAAAATTCAGTCCAAAGTCAAATCAATGCATTTTGATATTCAAGGTGGGTTTTTCTTTTGCAGTTTAAAAGGGGATCTGATGAACACTCAGAACTGCCTGTGCAAAAAAATCAGGGTTCAAAATTCGACATTTCTTCTGCCTGAAAGACAGGGAGATAGCAGCAATCGTTGGTGGATGGCAATAGAATATAAAAATGAGTTATCAGCCAGGCAAAGCGACCCCCTGATGGGGTGGGACAGGCAAATGCCACAAGGCTCTCAGGGTATGTCAGGCTCCAGCTGGAACACTCTTCTGGTCAACCATGACTTCATGCTCACTGTTATATTTATCCAACCATGTACCTTCACCAAAATTGGCCATAAGTCAGGTATTTTAGGTACCCAAGAGAAGGAAGAAGCTTTATGTTGTTACCAACCAAAGCAGGACCTGGGGAGCTCCCGCTCATCTCTGCTCCCCAACGGGACAATACCCACCACTTGCTGTTCCTCTGCAAAGCTGGGCTCTGCAGGTCTGCTGGGGCTGATTCAGGATTTGCAGCAGCTTTTGTATCCTCTCAGATCCTATTCTTTTAACTGTCCCTATAAACCAGGCCTGCCAGAACTCTCACTTTTCTGCAGACCCACCTTTGTCTACAAAGAAGTCTATGCAGCAACCTAATTTCAGCTGTCAGTGGGTCCTTTTATCGCTCAGCCTCTGTAAAAGCTTTTTTAATGCTGGAATAGGACGTTGTCTTCTGCACAATGGACAGGCAGGAGTCTGCACCCCGCATCAGGTGTGGTAAAACCAACCCCCACTGCAAGCTCACCAGCACAGTCCTTCAGACCGGCTCCAACGTCAGTGAGACACCTCAGCTGCAGAATATAAATTGTGCTGTGGAGCTTATTTTAAAGATGTGTTTATCTTTTTTAACTGGAGCCTGTTGTGAGAGCTCCTTCCCTCAGCCACCGTTTTAAAACCAACAAAATCCCCAAACTTAACAACTTGAAGGCATTAACCTCTCTGGGGAGCGGCAGATGCTGTGAGGCAACAGCTCGTGCCTCGCTTCAGTCCACTGAAATCGGCACAGAAGGAAAACCAAAGATCAAAAGAGCTCTTGAGTAAAGTACACAGGCAAAGTGGGAGAGGAGAGGGATGGGAGAAGAGCAAATATGACAGCAGTTATTCAGGGAGCAGCTTTGAATCGGAGGAGAAAGAAAATAGGGAAGGAAGGTGAGAGAGAAAATGTTAGGAAACAAGAGCAAGGGAAAGCAGCACGTCAACCGTAGGAGATGGAGAGGAAATTAGCACTGAGAGATGGTGCAGCATGTCAGAGGAGGGGAGAGAGGAAGATAAGGAGAGTAAATAATTGAGAGAAAGAGCCTGCAATGCCTGAGAACGGGTCTTGGCTCCGCACACGGCTGTGCAAGCACCATGAATGCTGTTTATGAGTTACGCTCTGCCCTCTTCACATTTGCATTTGGTTTTATGCATTACAGATAACTCAGCAAGCCAAACCTTCCTGCCCCTTCTCCAAGATGAGCTCCCGAACATGCCAAGCTGAATCCTGACTGAGGCGAAGCAAACCAGAGCTGGCAACACCAATCTGAGCAAACACAGAGCCCTTGGGCTGACTCTTCAAAAGCAGGGGACAGCCTCTCTCCCCGGGCTGGGCACCGGCTCCCTTCGCTCCCTGCAGCGTGCTCGGAGCCACGCACTGCTTCCCATCCCGGTGCTCGGGGGGCTCATGACCACACCAGGGAGCAGGGAGCATCCTTTGCTCACACACCCTCCAGGGCATGGCATTTTCCACTCGACAGGGCACTCTGTGCCCCGGAGGCAGCAGCAGGATGGCCGGGAGCCAAACAGTTATCAAGAGCCATGGCACGTCACCGTGCAGATGGAGGATGGGGAAAGCGGGACCAGCAGAGCCGTCACAGGTCCCACATGTGGTGGGAGCTGCCCTGGGCCAGCCACACCTGCAAGGATCCCTGTCCTCCCTGGGCTGGGACTGGCTGCAGAGCACTCCTGACAGTTCAGCCTTCCAGGGTGATGCGGTACAAGCATATTTGGCTGCTGTTCAGTAATTACATTAAGCCAGTGCCGCTAAAGTCAGTCCCAAGCAGAGATAATGCTCTCGACGCATTCAACTGACTGGAAGAAGAAAGAGGAGGAAAAGCCATGCTGGCTTAGAGACAAGTCATATTTCTTATCAGCTTCCTGCCTGACGAGAAGGTGCTGCCCAGCCATCTGCCCCGACAGCGCGGGCACAGAGCAGCGCTGTGATCACGGCACAAAGGAGCCCTCTGTGCTCCCGCCAGCCTCCCTGCCAGTCCCCCTCTCTGACCCCTTTGATGCTGGATGTGGTTCCCTTTGATGCTCCAGTCCCTGCTCCTCTCACCAATCTGACATTGTTTGCCCCATCCTGTGCTGACAGCAGGCAGGATTTTATGCTGGAATAGTGCAGACCCTTACGCTGGAATCCAAAGCATCCCAGGGGGTTTGGGGATCACTTTTTCGCATGCTGGAACTCTTAACCAGGCAGGATTAGCCCTGAGTACAAATATGAAGCTCTTTGGGCACCCATTGTTCACACTTATTCTCTGAGTCAGGTGGATGCCATCAGTTGAAACAAAAGCAGGGAGAACAAACAGCACGAAAGCTTCTGCATGCCCAGGACAGGGATTTAGTGTGAAATCCAGGACAAAGAGCCCTGGAAATAACACTTCCATTAGCTGGCATGTGGACTCCTTCTCTCAGCAACACATTCCTTCAGCTACCTGCCCCCAGAGTACCACATTTGGTGTAACAAGTGACGTTCCAGTGAAAGGTAACCTCCCAAGCGTTGTCCCATTCACCCTCTGAAATGATAAAGTGACACTGGAAGCTCTCCCAGACCATTCCCAACTATCCCAGTCACTGGGGAGGGAGAAGCCAAGTCCTTTCCCATGAGGCAGAACAGAGCCTCGATGCCCAGACACCCACCTAGGGGTGGCACCAGGGAAGGCACCAAGCCCAGGGGAGGAGAGCTCTGTGCCTGCAACTGCAGCCAAGGGAGGTAAAAACGTGTGAGCTGAAAGCAGAGCAAGAGAGATCAGAGGGAGGGGGTGAAAGTGTGAGCCCAAACCTGAGGAAGAAAGACTTCAAGAAATATATTCACCCTCACACAGAGCTAATTAGCACAGTGAGGCTCTACATGTCACTGCTTGCTCAAGCCAAGACAAAACAGAGGTTTTTAGGTGGTTGTCACCTCCCTGGTTTGAACACATTCCCTGTGAACTGATGTAAGGGCACCTACCTGCAACCACTTTCCATGGAAGCAGCGAGAAAATAATTATTTTCTTAGCAGCCACCACTCTACTTACCTAAATATGGCACATAAACCCCCATTTTGTAACAATAAGCAGATAAAAGAAGAAAAAGAAAGGACAAGAAAACCAGCCTGAGAAGAGACAACAGATCAGGCAGCCCCTAGGAAACTGCTGGCTCTTGGCACAAGCAATGATTAATTCAAACCTGGATATAAAATAAGCCTGCACTAGCCCTCTGCTGTCTGTTATTGTCCCAGGATTATGGTAATTAAGCAATTTGTATTACCTGATACTGATAAGAAAAATAAACCCCCGTTTCTGACACCATATCCCTGGATTTTACACAGTAGTTACCAATGAATTCTGTTACCTGGTGAACATAATATTCGAGATCATAAAGCGCTGCTACTTTTTCATCCAGCGTGGAGGCAGAACTGTTGAATTTGCTGATTAATTTAACCATAATTTCATAATCTGTTTCCATCTTCATGTTCAGCTTTTCAAACTCCTCCTTCAGCTGCTCTATGGGCCGGAACTTCTTCCTCACCTCTTCCTCTTGAGCCTTGAAAGCAGAAGGAGGAAACCAGATGTGAAGATAGGAGATAAAGAGAGACAAGACAGACACAGAAAGAAATGCCAGCCCCATATTCACAAGGGGAACCTGGCTGTCTGTGCCAGTGGATTTAGTGCTGTGCACGGAGATGCAGGGGCAGCACTGGAGGGTCCTTCTGAGAAGCCCAGGAACCCAGTTATCTGTGACATACCTGCAGTACCACTGAGCACTAGGGCTTTGTACACCACTTGTAGGTCTACACACCATTTGTGCACCATTTGTACATCTATACCCCATTTCTACAGCATTTCTACATCCCATGTCCTTCCAGCACAACGTGGGGCCCAGAGGCAGCATTGCTGTTCTCTGTTTGCCTGCAAGACCTGACTGGAAAAAGCCCTGAGCAACCTCCCTGATCCCATAGCTAACCCTGCCTGGAGCTGGAGATGGGGCTGGAAAGCTCCAGAGGTCCCATCCAGCCTGAAGTGCCCAGTGACTCCACTCCAGTGACATCAAGCAGATCTCCTCAGACGTGGATGAAGATGCTTTTGCCATCCCAAGCACAAGGATTGCAGGATGGCTTTATCTCTCAGGGGAAGGTGCACTCACTGTGGGGACAGAAGCTGTCAGAAAGGGAAGCAGAAGGAGTGCTGATAAGCTGGGGGTTGCTGAAGTGCCAGGCCATGGGGCTTGCCAGGGGACAGCCTGTCCTGAGCAGGGCTCATCTCCCTGGTAATAACAGCACCCCAAGGGCTGCCATGAACCAAGAGAGCTGACAAAAGGCATGTGGTCAGAAGGAAAAGGATCTGTCAGAGATCTAAGAGAGCCCCAGAGGCACAGGAGCACTGGTGGCACTGGGACAGGCAGGGACAGAGCCTGGTGCTGCAGGGGATGGAGGAAGCAGAGAGGCCAGGCTGGAGCTGGGCTTCCCCAAGAGCAGGAGAAAGCCAGAAAGACCTTTTTGAAAGGGATTCATCGCAAACACAAATACCAAACCACGTCTGTACCCAGGAGTGACCCCCAACTGGAGGGTTTCCACGAGCCCCACTCCCCTGCAAGCACTGACTGCTCCTCACCTAGCAACAGAAGCCAAGGGCTGGAGCCAGCAGGGGAAAAACAAGTGAGCAATGGAAGTGAAACTCTGTCAGTCTAATGACTGCTGGCCAGCTTAGCACAGGTACCACACAAAATGCCACCCCCAGCCCAACCACTCCAAACTGCCTTTGCCGCAGCGCACACGGGCAGTGCTCCGTGTAACTCCATTTCCTCTGACACAGATCCTTCAAGGATGAATTTCCTCCCTGCAGGAGTGACTGTAAATGGAATACTTTAGGTCCATTAGATATAGCTGCTTTTAGCCCAGTGGATGGGACAAAAGCTATTCTAACAGGGGGTTTAAAAGATGGCTTATTTTCACATCATAGAGTATCGCTAATTTTTGCATTTCAATGATCCTCATTTCCAGCAACAATGAAATAATCCTAGAGCAAATGAAATACTGCCCTGCTGCCACATAAGGGGAAAAAAGCCTTACTCTGACTTCAAGACTTCACAGCTTTGAATTCTACTTCAATTTTCCTTCAACTGAGCCAATGCCAAGGCAGCAGGAGGAGCGAAGGCCTAAGGAAATGCTGCTGAGGGGGAGAGGGCAAGGAGGCTGTGACCCACCTGATGAGTCACACATCATCCCACCAGTGGCTGGGGACAGTTCCAAGCCTGGAGAGGGCTGAAAGCAGCACTTCTATTCTATTTTACTTTGGGCTGGAGCTTGTGTAAGGAAGCTTCAGCCTGTGCTTCACCATGGCCACTTGGGTTTTGCTACCCAGGGCATGAGACTGGAAACCTAAAACAAGGAGAGTAGTAAAAGGGAAAGTAACTCCCTTTATAAATACTGTCACACTGCAATCTGATCCACATTGTGGTCTGCAGACATTTTTGTGAATCAAGCAGCAGTTGAATAAATAAATCAGGTTGGCCAGAGAAGCTGGGGCTGCCCCTGGATCCCTGGAAGTGTCCAAGGCCAGGTTGGATGGGGCTTGGAGCAACCTGGGCTGGTGGAAGGTGTCCCTGCCCATGGCAGGGGGTTGGAAAGAGATGATTTTTAAGGTGTCTTCCAACCCAAACCATTCACAGAATCACAGAAAAGCTAGGGAACTATATCATTAACAGGTATTTTAGGTTCATATTCATCAGATTAGTTTGCCCAGTGTTTTCCCAAGCAATCACTTTAACCATCATATTTCTGCAATGTGTAACATAGAGTGTGTTCACATCCTGCACTGTGCATTGCTTTACAAACGGGGAACTCTCTCCTTACCTTCCTTTCTGCCTTCTCACTTTCCTTCATTTTCACCAAGGCCTTTTTGAGCTCCTGGGACGTGAACGAATTTGCATCGACATCCACCTTGCCCAGTCTTGCAGAAGAAACAAAACAAACCAGAACATGTTTTGAGTAAACAACTGCATCTATACTACTTTCACTGTGACATACTAGCAGTGGCTAAGGGCAGGAGAAAAGGGATTAAAAAACCACCACACTCAAGAAAAGATTAGTCTGAGTGCTGTATTCTGTGAGTGGTTTGCACACACCTCACCCTGGCAATCAAGAAAGGCTCTGTAATCAAACCCTCCGACCCAAAATCTAAAGTGCTAACACAATGAAAATAAATGATTCATTTATGCCTCAGAATTTCATGTTTTAATACAGAAAGCACCCCTGGGCCACTAAATCATTGTGAAGGACTTGCAAGCTCTAACCTGGAGATTTCAGCTGAAGTTCTGATGAGCATCATCAGTCAGGGCAAGGGTAAATGCACACAGAAATTACACAGAAATGCTAAAAACTCTGTTGTGCTGCTCTTTATGTCTTTCTCATTGGCTCAAGGAGGGTGTATCTGGGCCACAATCACTCTTGCATGGAAAAAAAGGAGATCCAGCTGCTGAGGCATCATGAAGATAAAGAGCATCTCCATGCCCTGAGCAGGAGTCACTGGGAGAGCGAGGAAAGAAGTGGGAAATCCCACTTCAGGAAAGAGATTCCCCATGGAAACTAAACCTGTCTGTGTTAGGAGGGTGCCAAGGGGAAAATCAGCACCGGTGAAACGTTTAGAACACATTTAAAGACATGGAAGGCAGTGTGATCCCTGGAGACCATGGCTGGGAGCCTGCTTGGCTCCCAGCTGGAACAGGGCACCTGGCTCAGTCACACAGCCCCTCACAGCTGTGCCCAGGGGTTGAGCTCAGAAAGCAGCTTCAGACCAGTTGCTGCAGATATTACAAAGGACTAAATCTCATTCAAAGAAGCCACGTTGCCAATTTAATTTCGGTGTCGTGGCACGAGAAGCCATGAAGGTGTCTCTGAATGTGCACTCAGGGCACTTCCACTGCCATCCCAAAAGGATCACAAAGGACAGGGCTCCCTTTTGAGCACTGCTGAACTCTTGAATCAGCAATTAAGTCTCAGGAAGAGACAGTAATTGGGTGCACCAGGGAACCTGGCCTCTAATAAAAGGCATGGATCCTGCAGCCCACCCACCCCGCTGCACCTCTGTACCTTTTCCTTCTTCTCTCTTCTCTCGTGTCACTTCTCCCATTTTCACTGTCTGGGAGCTTGGCTTCTCTCTCTCCCGTCTGCAGGTTCAGCCTCACGTGTGACCCTGCAGGAACAGCCTGACCTGCAAACAAAGGGGGGGTTATCTCAGAGCACCTGTATTGTCCCAGCTTTGTGAGGAACTGGGAGCTGAAGGCACACAGTCCTCCCCCAGAGAAGGGGAGGAAAGCCTCATCCTGCACCATGAGCAGGAGCAGGATCTTCACCACCAACTGCCCTCCCCTCCAGCAGCACCTCTGAACCACAAGGGCTGCTTTACCCTCCCAGATATGCCCCCCTGAGCCACCAAACTTCTCCCTGTGCTGCCAGGCTGGCTCCGATCCACAGCAGGGGTGGAACCCTGAGCCCAGCAGAGCATCAGTTCCCTCCTCCCTCCCAGACCACATCAGGACTGGATTTGGAGACCATATCGAGAAAGGGGCATAAAATGCAGCTGCCAAAGGGAAATCAAGGCATCCTGCAGAGTCCAGCCAAGTACACTGAACATCAAGGCTGGGCTGGGTTGGAAATACTGTATTAAAAGGAATATATGATCACTACTATCTGCCAAGGAAAATACACAGAATACATTAAGCTTTGGGTTTAAATACAGAAAAGATGGGGAATTCAGAGTTTTGCCTTGGTCACAGTTCACCACAAACACATCTTGGTGGCCAGCCCAGAACTGGGGTGGAGAGGAGGGAATATTTGGTTGCTTCTTCTTGATTGTGCTGCTTCTTTTGATGCAATAAATCTGTTTGTTCAGGGAAGGGAGGCTGCAGCTGAATGACTGCTGAGATCTCAGCTGTCACAGATGGACAGACAGACACACAGCTGCTCACCTTCCTCCCTCTCGATGAGGAGTCCCTATTCAGCCTTTCCTTTATCTCTTCCCTTTTACCTAAAAAGACACCTCAGATAACACAACACAGCATGCAGGAGACAGGGAGCATCTCCCACCAAAGGCAAGTGAAGGTAAGGGTAATTATTTTGTACAATAAATACATCTACTCAAAGACAAAAAGCTCTAGTCTCAGGAACGACTGGATTGATCCCTCCCTCCTCAAGACCAAAGAGACATTTCCCTGATCAAAGGACCTGGTGCTTCCTACACAAGACTGGGATGTTTGTCACAATTCAGACAAAAACATTTCAAAGCCCACAGCAGGTATAAATGCATTTAGAAAAACCAGGAAAATCCATTTTGGTGGATTTCCTATTAAAACAAGGTGTATTTCTGACAGCTCCTCTTTCTCTCCAGCACATCCTGCCCATAGGAAGTTGCACTGGTTGGATATGCAAGGGGACAGATGTGATTATCTTCCCATCTTAAACTATGCCAGATATGCCTCCTCCACACCTGAAGTGCTTTCCACTTTTTTTGGACAGATCCAAACCTCCTCCTCTTCCTTTAACTTGTGATACATGGAAGCTTTAACCTATATCTATCTAGAGGAGTATCTTCCCATGCTGAAAAGGTGAGTTTTGCAGGAATGGAGGATGGAGGAGCTGTGCCCCTCACAGGTGGTGTAGCTGGGACACTCTGGTCAGAAAGGAGTCTGTAGGATCTCCATGGAAAGGACAGCACTGCATCTCCTCTCCCTGGTTTAGGAGACAGAGACAGGGGTCTGCCAGCAAGGAAAACACAAAAAAGGATAACCTGGTCTGGTGAAGGGTGTCCCTGACATGGAGGGTGGATTGAGATGAGCTTTAAGGTCCCTTCCAACCCCAACTGTTCTAGGACAAAATGTCATCGTGTGCTGATGCAACCCAGGGATGCAGGAGGGCATCTCCCTCCTCCGCAGACACAAACATGAAAGCCGTGGCTTTGCTGGCCGCGTCCCCAGCGCTGGGATGGGGTGACAGCCCCGGCAGTGGCCGCAGCAGCTCTGGGCTGTCAGACGTGAAAGGACATCCCGTGGAGCAGCGCAGCTCCCGCACCCCGCACTGCAGCCCGCCCGCTGCCAGGGCACAGGAACGAGGAGGACGGACTTGGCTTGAACGGCCCATCCAAACGCAAAGCAGGCTCCGGGAGGGCCGGCTGGCTCCGGGGGACCGGCCCTCCCGTTTCTATTTTCAGCGAGCGGTAAATAAAACAAAAAAATAAAACTAAACACGAACCCCCCGCCGCACACGAGCTCCCAAACGCAGCGCAGCCAAACCAAGGAGGCGGCACCCGAGAGGACGCGAACCTTCCCTGCTCCTGCTTCTGCCTCTGCACGGTAAACGGGATTTGACCGGGACCATCCACACCCCAGAGCAAAACTCTCTGCCTTGATGTATTTAAGCGGCCACAGGGATTTCTCCTCGCTCTGCACAGCAACCCAGGTTCATGCCACAGCAGGACAAACATGCTGCTTTAATAAATAAACCATGAAAAACATCTCTGTTTTCAACAAAGAGATTGACATTGTCACTGAAAAATATCCCAGCTGCTCAAGACGGGTCTCCAGTCTTATTTAGTTTGGTGTATTTTGAAGTATTATTCATAAAGTGTTTTTGAGGGTGGGTTGACTTGAATAATGTGATTAAAATTGCTGATTTAAACGAGTAAGCTGGAAATCCTGAATTTTAATCATGTTTCAATATGTAGCTTCTAGACATTTCCCTTAAAAATAGTTGATTCTCTTTGATTCCTGTAATTTGATACTCTTCAACAACTGGGAGCACGCTCTGGAGCAATACATATGTAAGCAATTACACAGCTTCACATGCTGCTAAAACAGAATCGTACCCTTATTAGCTTTTTCCCGAGAGAAATTAATTTTTTACTTATTGTTTGCATTAAGTTGCACTTGGGAAATGAAACTCAATTAAAAAAATATAAAAACAGGTTTATATTTAAGCCATTTTGTGACATTTTTTTCTCCTTGGCACCTTAGACAAATCAAAGATGTGTATCCACAGGTAAGCATTGCATACATGTGTTACTGGATGGTCTCACTGCCCAGACAGCTGCTACATCTCATCCTTCACTCCTCATAAAGGGAAAGAGGAGTTTCCATTCTAATTAATTTCCCACCTCTGAATCGACTACCCAGTGAGTAGAAATAGCTGTGAAATCCACTCTGTGAACCTGCTGAAAGGGCTGCAGCTGTGGAGGAAGCAGCAAACCCCTGCCCCCACAACCTGTTTGTGCTCCTTACCACTCAAAAAATTCCCCACGCATGGAATTTTTTAAACCACAGTTAAAATGGTTTGAATGAGAGAATCCCAGAATGGTTTGGGTTGGAAGGGACTTTAAGGATCATCCAGTTCCATGGGCAAGGACACCTTCCACCAGCCCAGGTTGCTCCAAGCCCCATCCAACCTGGCCTTGGACACTTCCAGGGATCCAGGGGCAGCCCCAGCTTCTCTGGGCAACCTGTGCCAGGGCCTGCCCACCCTCACAGGGATGGATTTTTCCTAATATCTAATCTAAACCTACTCTCTTTCAGTTTGAATACGTGTTCCTGCATCTCCTTGGGTTGATGGATCTCAGAGAGAAAGCCCCAGGGTTTGAGCAGCTCACCCAGTGTCCCTGACAGGGACATGCCACCTGCCTGCCACTCCATCACTCAGCTGCCTCACAACAGAAAAGATAGTGTCCAACAGGTAAAGCACTTCCAGAGGATAAAAAAACCCTTGTCACTGCAGGAATGACAAGGTCTTTATTGGGAATAGATGACAAAGCAAAACTACAGCGTTTATTTTCCAGGTGGGAGACACTGATCCTGTGGCAACACGCTGCAGGAATGGTGTTACTCCTGTTCTCCATTTAATCCCTTTATCAGCTGCAGAAGTACCAGGATAGGCTTTGCTCTTCCCACAAACCATCCCTACACCTGGGTGCAGCCTCTGCAGCCCAAAGCTCCCGGTCTCCTGGAGATCCTCCCTTGCCGTGGCACTCCATTTGTTCGGATGTGCTCTGTCCTGAAAGTTGCTTAAAGTGACGCCGAGGAAGACTTTAATTTATAGCCCCATTCTTTTAATCTTGGTCAGCCAGATTTTTTCAGACATCTGTTTATATCTCCTTGTAATATATTGGCTGGAGCAGCAGCAGCGGGGCCGGCTCTGAGGCAGCAGCTCCCTTGCAGGGGTTCTGCTGACATTTATAAACCGAAGCGGTTCCTCTCGTGTGCTTTATGTTATCAGCTAAACCTGTCGGCTTAAATTATTGCCTTGTAACCAAATCACAGCTATCTGTTACTCCGCTCTGTGTACGTTTCCCAAGCCCTGTGCCTATATCAAGCTTTGCAGAGGCTGAAAACAAGATGATAAATAAATAAACGAATGGAAAACAGACTCCCAACTGAGGCAGGAGCAGGTGCATTATACACCAGGTAAGTAAAGGCACAGGGGTGCTGTGTGGAATACGCAACAGGCAGGGATGTCCAAGGGACTCCATCCCTCTTTTTCTAGATCAACCAAAGGACCAACCGTTTCCTCTCAAAGGAAGAAAGGGTTCATCCTGCCCGGCTCCTTTCCAGCACGTTGGACTCGATGATCCTTGTGGATCCCTTCCAACTTGGCATATTCTGTGATTATTCCATTTACTGCTGGCCACAGGTGGGTTTGTGTTTCAGCATGGGGACAAGGCTGAGCCCTGACACAGCACACAGCAACAGCATTAAACATGACCAGGTAAGCTGTACATCCTACACAGACCTGCAAACCTCGTGCTGAGACTGTGCAGTAACTCACTGCTCTCCTGGCAGTGGCTTCCCCATGCCCTCCCCAGCTCCTGGACCCCAGAGCTTTCAGCCATCGACTGGATGAAAGCAAGAGGAGCCCAAGAGGGACATGAAACTCCCCCCCTCCAGCACCACTCTGTCCCCTATGGCACAGCAATGTCCCCTGAGAAGGTTTCTGAAAGCAGAACAGAGGAGATCCAGCTCAGCAGATCCCTGCTTTGTCCCCAGGTGAGCATTCTTGTTTGCCGTTGCAAAACAATTCAAAAATCTATTAAGGGTGTGAAAACAAACCTCAGTTATTGAGTCAGTAAGTGGCTCTGCAGCTCTCAGAAATCACCTCGGTTTGTGAGCAAGCCTCAGATAACATCTACCTTCCTTTACTCTTTGTTCCCTCGAACAGGGAGTGAGGGGA